TAAGCAGATGGTAAATTATAAAAGGAAGTAAAAACAAATTAAATTAAAAAAGCTCATTTTCGTTCATTACAAAATGCACCAATAATTCTAAGCCGGTTTTGCTTAAATACACAAAATAGAAGAGTGGTTTCATAAACAAAGCCCCCATGCAAATTTACAAATGATCAATTTATTCTAAATAATTTATAATTAATTTGGAGTCAATTACAATGACATTGTTTGAAGTTTAGCTTAAAATTACACTCATCATCCATTTTTTTGATTAAAAGATTGCACTCATCTCCCCAAAATGGTAGTTAGTGTAACGTATGTGTATAGATTAGGGGTGTCTTTTGCATGTGAAAAAAATGAATGTGATTTGTGTAATTTAACTAAAACTCATAGAGAGTAAGTGTAATTTATTCTTTAAAATATTTTGAAATGGATATATATGGATTGATGAATAACTTTTCATCTATCCATTAGGATGTAAATCCAAATTCATCAAATCTATCCATTTGCTTCCCGTAATATTTATGAAGAATTTAGGGTGTTACAAAATGATTGTTGTTGATTATTTAGTTTTTGATTTATTGGTAATTAAGTTAAGTGACGTGACACGAAAAATAAAAGATGATCCAAGGGAAAGAAGTGTTACAACATTATATGTATCTATATTATCATTTATTTAAAATTATTAGTTATCCAAGTATTATGATAAAGACGAGATCAACTATTTGACTTTTTGGTCATCTTTTGAATCTAGCTATGTCTTATATCGCTAAACCAACACCTTATTAGTTACGGAAAACTATCATGCTAATACACTAATTATATTTTTTTATAAATTTAATTTTTACTTATTCAATTATTATTTCCCAAAATATAAGAAGAAATTTTTTAAATTATTATTATTGTAATACTTTAAAAATAGAAAAAAAAAACAATTAAATATATAAGTGTGAGAACAAAATTTAAATTAATATTATTATAACATTTTTGAAATAGAAAAAAACAAATAAATATAGAAGAGAGGGAGAAATTTTTTAATTATTAGTATAAAATTTTGGAAATAGAAAAAACAAATAAATATAGAACAGAGAGATAGAAAAGTTGTTGAGGCGCTAGTGAACTCGATTGGAGAGCAATAGTAACAAGATCTGGTTTCACATGTCATCATGTGATTGTGTATGATAATTGTTGGCGGTATAAAAGGGAGCGAAAACTTGTTTTTGCCTTATGATGATGGTCGATCTTGCCTAGAAAACAGAGGCATCCAATCTAGTAGTGTTTTGGCATCGTCAAATTATTTTATTTTTTAACTGATAAATACTTTTCTAATGTTATTAAGAAATCATTCCATTTTTATTTTCCATCTACTATTTGTTGGTTTTGCCGTAGATAATTTTTTTATTTTAAAATGAAATAATCCTAATAAATCACTACCTATTTGTATCACCCTATAAAATTTTATCTCCTTCACAGATCAATACTTATTTTATTGGCCATTAATTTCATGATTCAATTGAAGAATTATTCAATATTTATTTATCATCCATCATTATTTTTATTTCATTTAAATCATATGAAAATAAGTTTTTTTTTTTAAATATACTACTAATAAATAATAATGGATAGATCTAGACTTAATAATATTGGTTATTTGTATAGTCTTATTTTCTATGTCAATATTTTTATCTCACTCAAATTAAAACTTAACAGCAACATATTTCCTCTCTTTTCAATTTATTTATTTTTATCTTCTATTTTCCGTTTTTGATAAAATTGGGTATTCACCATCCTTAGAGTACTTTAGCCTTAATATTATTTATTCTTGAAAACATTTTTTAGTAATGTTTTTTTTAAATATAGGCTAATAAATAAGAAGCAACATTGTGTACCATGTTTTAAAGGGTGTTTATTTATTAAAATATTTTTTAATATAATTATTTATTAGTAGTAATATATCTTTACTTTTATTTATAAGAAATAGATTAAACAAAAGGGATAGCAATACAACAACATTGACCACTATTTTTCAACTATTAAATTATCTAGGATGTACTATTTTCAACTATAAAAGTTCACACTTGGGTTGAATAGAATATAAAAAGTTCAGAGTTTGGTAGAACATAAGAAATCACAAACCACAGTGAATAAAATATGAAGAAGTCATCCATTGTTTTATGTTTCTTTATCATCCTCTTTGTATTTGTTTCAGGTGATTTTCTTTTCTTGGTAAATGCTTCATGAAGTTTCTCATATTTGAAAGCAAATATTTGTGTTTGTATACTTCACCAGACATAGTCATAAGATGTTTTCTTATGTTGTTTATTGATGTTAGAAATTATATTTGACTGTTATAGGGATACTCTCTTTTTATATATATATATATATTGTCAATGACTCTTTGAGAATTCACTTTCAGGTTTGGAGGATAAAGCTTTCGATCAAATAATAGGAATTAATGCAGGGGAACCATGTAAAGTAGACAATGATTGTTTTTGTCAAGGAGGACCTTTTGGAGTATGTTGTTATTGTAGAAAAGGTCATTGTTTTTGTCTTAAGGATGGTAAAGAAGTTCCACAATCCTCTGCAAATGTTCCAAAACAAATCCCTTGAAACTATTATTCGTAGTCTTATCCTATGTACTGAAATATTATAGCTACCATGATAATGGAAATAAATTAAGCATATTATCAAAACATCATTTTCAGTTTACCATTGTTTAACAATTAGTTTATTTGTTCAATACGATTTAAATATTAGTTTAAATATACAAAATTAGATATAATATATCTTAAAGGTTTAAATTAAATATTTGTAATGTTACACACTCATACGTATATATTGAAATAAAATTATTAATTATTATATTAACAGTATAGTAGATTATTTCACAAGTTTTATAACATCTTTATGTATTCTATTTTGTAAAATTATATGTTTTAAAATATTATGCAATATTAGGTAAGTTAGATAAGCCGGAAGGGATTATCTAACCTAAAAGATGTACCAAGTCTAATTTTAAAAGACATATAATTTTAATTAAATAAATAAAATATTACATACTTTTTTTTGGGTGTAGAATTGTGTTTGGTAAAGTTATTTAAGAAAAAAATTAATTTTTAGCATTAGAGATTTACTAAATAATTTATTTAAATAATATTTCTATTCATTTGATAAAATTGGTGAAACACTAATTAAAATTATATAATGAAATTATAAAATTACCCCTCTCTTTTTTTTCCACCTACAAAAACAACACTTAATATATATAAATACACTACACCCACTATCCTTATAAGATAGTTCAGTGTAATCTTTTAAAGAAAAAAGTAATGAGTATAATTAAGTTAAACTCCAATAGATGTTGGTTTAATTTACACTTAACTAATTAATTATACATTAGCTATGATAAATTGATAATTTGTAAATTTCCATATAGAATTTGATTATGAAATCAATTTTATCTTTTTTGTATTTAAGCTATATTTCCCTAGGATTATTGATTCATTTGATAACGACCCAAAGGCAATGAAGGGACATTGAATCTTATACTATTTGAACTTGACGTCATAATATTAAAATTTAATGGAAATCTCGTGTGTGATTAATCAAAGTTATATGATTTTTTCTCCTTGACCACTGCCATTAGCACATATATTTGTTTGTAAAATAAATGACAGATTATAAGTACCGAGAAACGCAAACTCAAACCCAATCTTCAATAAACTGTATTTTATCCCCAACACTTAAATTGATTGTTACTAATGATATAAGGCTAGAACCAAGAAATGATTTAAACATAACAATAATGTACCGATCATAATTTTATTATCATTGTTTTAAGACTTGTTGGAGATAACTACAGAGAGGGTAGACAACTCGATATTGAATAACAAATTCACATTTTATATAAAACTGATAATATTGTAAATATATAGAAATTATGTATTTATATTAAATGTCATTACTAGATAACAATAACACATTTGAGCTTATCTTATTATTCAAATATTTTTTATTTGGAAAAATTACTATGTTTTGAAATTTTTTAAAGGATAGAGAATTTGTTGCTTGGTCCAAACAAAAGTATATGTCAAAACTTATCTCGTCTCCATTCCCTAAGCAGATGGTAAATTATAAAAGGAAGTAAAAACAAATTAAATTAAAAAAGCTCATTTTCGTTCATTACAAAATGCACCAATAATTCTAAGCCGGTTTTGCTTAAATACACAAAATAGAAGAGTGGTTTCATAAACAAACCCCCCATGCAAATTTACAAATGATCAATTTATTCTAAATAATTTATAATTAATTTGGAGTCAATTACAATGACATTGTTTGAAGTTTAGCTTAAAATTACACTCATCATCCATTTTTTTGATTAAAAGATTGCACTCATCTCCCCAAAATGGTAGTTAGTGTAACGTATGTGTATAGATTAGGGGTGTCTTTTGCATGTGAAAAAAATGAATGTGATTTGTGTAATTTAACTAAAACTCATAGAGAGTAAGTGTAATTTATTCTTTAAAATATTTTGAAATGGATATATATGGATTGATGAATAACTTTTTATCTATCCATTAGGATGTAAATCCAAATTCATCAAATCTATCCATTTGCTACCCGTAATATTTATGAAGAATTTAGGGTGTTACAAAATGATTGTTGTTGATTATTTAGTTTTTGATTTATTGGTAATTAAGTTAAGTGACGTGACACGTGTAACGCCCCGAAAATTACTTCAATAATATTGCTCGAAAATGGGTAAATTTTTTTTTTTTTTTTTTGGTGATGTAAAAATATTGTTTCCTTTTTAAAATGTTTTTTTTTCGGGACATCACTTAAGTAACATACAATGCGGAAAATCACAACCATTACTTAATGGTAACTAGAAAAACTCAATATAACTTTGAATCATACTTCATTAGAAAATGTTGGTACAGGTACAAGGCGGAATCCTAATCGTCGCCCAAATAAAAACTACTACAAAATAAATTCCCTACACAGGTACACTAATCAAAAGTACCAGGGCCTGTGTAGGTATAACAGATTCCCTCAATCCTCCATGCCCCCTCCTGGGACATCGAAAAGTGGTAACTCTGAATCCCGATCGAACGATCCATCTGAACAAACGCGGATAGAAGACAAAAAGAAAGAAGAGAGGGAGTAAAACATCTAATGAAAAACTTATCATTGACGTCGTGGAATTACACAGAATAATACACCAAGACAACACATGAGTACATATATATCATGTGATTATACAAGCACATAAAAACAATGAATGAAATATAAAACTCGAGGATTTAGAAACAATATCGAAGAATATCATGTATGCAATGCGATGCATGAGTCCACCATCCTTACTCCTTTATCCTCCCAATAACTATTCGGAAATAACCGAGAGTACAGGTCCCATAACAAGCCGATTTGAACGCACCAAAATATTCCTCGCAAGGATATATGATCGATCTGTTCCAAAGAACTGTCCATTTCAGGACGGTGTCGTATCAAACACTTTCTGGGCATCCCTCTCATCGATCCTGATTGCAAAGAGGGGTTGTCAGAGATCATCTAGTTTGCGCTGTGAGAACTGTCCGATCCAACAGAATACCTCATCCAGGAATACAAGGGACTCGTCTCACCTAGACTCACCCTCAAGACTTTGCTGACGAATCACCGCCATCGCCGTCCCTCTCAACATCTCGGGGCTCGTTCGTCTCCCGTAAATTTCCTCTCCACTACTTCATTATTCATAATGAGTATGCACACTAACCGAGGTTAGCCAATTAAATCTTTTAATCATTCTTTTAAATGATCGGCCCAACCTAAGACATCTCCCAAAGGAATGCTTCTAGTGGGTCCCGATCTTAACACATATAACAAAAAGAGAGAATAATTTCGGCACCACTACGAACCATCGCTGAATTATCCTGGACGGCTCCTCTAGCCAAGCCTCTTACGGTCAAATAATCTCGCTGCGTGGGCATAATATCACACCCTCGACCTCGCCTTTAACAAAGCAATTCCTTACTTTTATTACTTTCAAGAATTTCATATAGTTGTTTACCTTTACAAATTCTTGATGGCAAACATGCCATTGGGCTCTCGTATATATGAGAGTTATCATTCCAACGACTTAAAAAGAAGTCATGTCTGTATGGAGCCCGCTCGCTCAAGCGAGAGCTGTCTTGCTCAAACGAGATGCTTCCATTTTTGAGGCATTTGTGGCTTAAGCGAGAGCTGTCTTGCTTAAGCGAGAAAACAATCAGTTCTCTTGGTGCCTGTTTTAGCTCAAGCGAGAGCTGTCTCGCCTCGAGCTAAAACACTCGTTTTCTCTATACACTTCTCGCTCAATCGAGAGTTGTCTCGGTCAAGCGAGAAGAACCTAAATATCATTTTAATTACTTTTCTCAAGGAAAATATTTCTCATTTATATCAAATGTTTTTAAACCTTGAATTTCAAAATTATCACATACATATCATTCAAACATTATAATTCAAGAGTAAACATGATATTTGCATATATAAACATAACATAAATCGGTATAAGAAATATTGCTGTATTTAATCCAAACAAACATGCAATTGATTAAGTACAAGCTTTCTTAATACCCAGGGCAACTCCAAACTTGTGAGGGAGTTTGGAGGTCCTGATGCATATTCGGACACCACTGTGTCACGATGTTTTCTCCCTCACCTGAGTGTGTCGGGTCGTTAGGTTCTCTGTTTGTAGGTGAGCTTACTTGATCCGTTCTCCTCTCGAAATCTTTATTATGCCAAAATAACGTTAATTAGTTAAATGACGATAATTATTATACTTACGAAATAACTTTTTACGCGAAGATAAAACTTCCGATTTAAAATGAATTTAATTGCTTTCGTCCATCCAATTCAAGGTTGAATATCCTTGAATCATCATTTGTCATCGAAAGTCTTACAATCAAATAATACTTTTTAAAGTAAAATTTTCAATAAAACTTATACCGAAATTATGTCGTAATCCGTGGATATACACCAGGCTAGTTCCCAGGAAAGAGAGGTGGGTCATAAAGACACCCTTAAATACCAAATCTTTCCTTAGACAGAACCTTTCTAGACATGTATTCCCACTTCATTTATGTCGTAATCCGTGGATATACACCAGGCTAGTTCCCAGGAAAGAGAGGTGGGTCATAAAGACACCCTTAAATACCAAGTCTTTCCTTAGACAGAACCTTTCTAGACATGTATTCCCACTTCATTGTATTTTTCCGATAATTCATAAATCTTATTTTTTGTAAGTAAAACATTTTTACTAAAACTAACCTTTTTACTTTTTTAAGTAAATCTTACCATTTTAAAGTAAGTTCACTTAACTAAGATTCAACATTTTTAAATCATTTTACCATCTAAGACTTCATAACACTTTAAGTTTATAAAGTCAAGACTTTTAGGTAACTCTCATTATTTCAAGTATACTACTAAAACAAATTTTCATGAACATCTTAACACCTCCTAATTTTTTAGGAAAAAACCTCAAGGGTTAGTAAGTGTTATTTTCATAGTCATGAAAAAGAATGACTCTTAAATTAATATTTTACATTTAAACATCTTTTAGTTATTCTTACCACTTTAAAGTAAGTCAACTAAAATAAATACAACAATTTCTATGAACATCTTAACACCTCCTAATATTTTAGGAAAAACCTCAAGGGTTAGTAAGTGTTATTTTCATGGTCATGAAAATAAATCATAATGTAAGACTTTCTACTACTTTAATATCTAAAACTTCATAACACTTTAAGTTTATGAAGTCAAGACTTTAATAAATCATCTTTTATCCCAAATCATTATTTTAACTTGGGAATCAAAGAGTAAAATATGTAAACCACTTTTAAAACATAATATTATCTAAAAATGAAATATTTTCAACAACTCATCAACATCATAAACTTTCAAGAATAAAATACAAACTTTTTCCTAAACACATTAAAGGTTCCTTTGATGTTAAAATCATCACCTTTAAACATATTCAAATACTAACAATAATTTATAATATTTCCAAATAAATAACTCATCTAACCTTGTCCAAAGATATAGTTTTTCCATCTAAGAACAAGGAAGAAATTTCAAGATTTACAAAAGTCAAAAACTACATAAAGGTTCATATGATTTTATCATCATCCCCTTTAGTTATGCTTTCATAAAATACTTAAAGAACAAATATAAACTCTACTTTATGAACAAAATAATAAAAGCTCATAACTTTCTATGAAGTATGAGAAGAAGATGAAGAAGATAAAATAAAAGACTACCTTAGTTTGTATAAGGAATTTAGTGTAAAAATGAGAGGATGGGGTGAGGTATTTATAGGAGAGCCTCACCCTCATCAAATCAGAAAATTTAATGCAAAGTAAGTAGCTTTAGACTAGCATAGGTGATGTGTCTAATGGTGGTGGAGTGAGAGGATTTGTTGAGTGTTTTAGGGGTTTTTGGAAGCTTTTGCATTACTTGTGTAACAAGTAAGTGGCTCATGCAATGATGACTTCCAACTTTATTGATATGATGTAATTTCCCAATAAATGTCGTGTCCGAACATCTTCGGATAATTTCGTCCGAAAATATAAAATCTCCCGATTTTGGTTTACGGTTAGAACTTCGAAACACAGAATTTGGAGTGAAAATATTTAGAAATGCGTTCTAAATGAACTTGATGTCTATCTTGACTCGAAATAATATTTCGAAGCTAATGGTGCAATCGGAATTCGATTCCGAGTTACGGAACTCAAAAACACGTTATTGGGCCGAATTCGGGCTATTTGGGCCCGACGACAATTCAAAAATATTTCGTCACAGAAAATTACGAAAATTTACCATAAAATAGGAAATCACAAAACAAGACTAATATTCAACTATGGCTTAGCCTAAATCCACACTGATTAATTTCTACAATTAATCGTTGATAAAATAAATAATTAATAAAAACTCATAAAAATTTATAATTCCAAATCAGAAAATTCGTGGTGTTACAACACGAAAAATAAAAGATGATCCAAGGGAAAGAACTGTTACAACATTATATGTATCTATATTATCATTTATTTAAAATTATTAGTTATCCAAGTATTATGATAAAGACGAGATCAACTATTTGACTTTTTGGTCATCTTTTGGATCTAGCTATGTCTTATATCGCTAAACCAACACCTTATTAGTTACGGAAAACTATCATGCTAATACACTAATTATATTTTTTTATAAATTTAATTTTTACTTATTGAATTATTATTTCCCAAAATATAAGAAGAAATTTTTTAAATTATTATTATTGTAATACTTTAAAAATAGAAAAAAAAACAATTAAATATATAAGTGCGAGAACAAAATTTAAATTAATATTATTATAACATTTTTGAAATAGAAAAAAACAAATAAATATAGAAGAGAGGGAGAAATTTTTTAATTATTAGTATAAAATTTTGGAAATAGAAAAAACAAATAAATATAGAACAGAGAGATAGAAAAGTTGTTGAGGCGCTAGTGAACTCGATTGGAGAGCAATAGTAACAAGATCTGGTTTCACATGTCATCATGTGATTGTGTATGATAATTGTTGGCGGTATAAAAGGGAGCGAAAACTTGTTTTTGCCTTATGATGATGGTCGATCTTGCCTAGAAAACAGAGGCATCCAATCTAGTAGTGTTTTGGCATCGTCAAATTATTTTATTTTTTAACTGATAAATACTTTTCTAATGTTATTAAGAAATCATTCCATTTTTATTTTCCATCTACTATTTGTTGGTTTTGCCGTAGATAATTTTTTTATTTTAAAATGAAATAATCCTAATAAATCACTACCTATTTGTATCACCCTATAAAATTTTATCTCCTTCACAGATCAATACTTATTTTATTGGCCATTAATTTCATGATTCAATTGAAGAATTATTCAATATTTATTTATCATCCATCATTATTTTTATTTCATTTAAATCATATGAAAATAAGTTTTTTTTTTAAATATACTACTAATAAATAATAATGGATAGATCTAGACTTAATAATATTGGTTATTTGTATAGTCTTATTTTCTATGTCAATATTTTTATCTCACTCAAATTAAAACTTAACAGCAACATATTTCCTCTCTTTTCAATTTATTTATTTTTATCTTCTATTTTCCGTTTTTGATAAAATTGGGTATTCACCATCCTTAGAGTACTTTAGCCTTAATATTATTTATTCTTGAAAACATTTTTTAGTAATGTTTTTTTTAAATATAGGCTAATAAATAAGAAGCAACATTGTGTACCATGTTTTAAAGGGTGTTTATTTATTAAAATATTTTTTAATATAATTATTTATTAGTAGTAATATATCTTTACTTTTATTTATAAGAAATAGATTAAACAAAAGGGATAGCAATACAACAACATTGACCACTATTTTTCAACTATTAAATTATCTAGGATGTACTATTTTCAACTATAAAAGTTCACACTTGGGTTGAATAGAATATAAAAAGTTCAGAGTTTGGTAGAACATAAGAAATCACAAACCACAGTGAATAAAATATGAAGAAGTCATCCATTGTTTTATGTTTCTTTATCATCCTCTTTGTATTTGTTTCAGGTGATTTTCTTTTCTTGGTAAATGCTTCATGAAGTTTCTCATATTTGAAAGCAAATATTTGTGTTTGTATACTTCACCAGACATAGTCATAAGATGTTTTCTTATGTTGTTTATTGATGTTAGAAATTATATTTGACTGTTGTAGGGATACTCTCTTTTTATATATATATATATATTGTCAATGACTCTTTGAGAATTCACTTTCAGGTTTGGAGGATAAAGCTTTCGATCAAATAATAGGAATTAATGCAGGGGAACCATGTAAAGTAGACAATGATTGTTTTTGTCAAGGAGGACCTTTTGGAGTATGTTGTTATTGTAGAAAAGGTCATTGTTTTTGTCTTAAGGATGGTAAAGAAGTTCCACAATCCTCTGCAAATGTTCCAAAACAAATCCCTTGAAACTATTATTCGTAGTCTTATCCTATGTACTGAAATATTATAGCTACCATGATAATGGAAATAAATTAAGCATATTATCAAAACATCATTTTCAGTTTACCATTGTTTAACAATTAGTTTATTTGTTCAATACGATTTAAATATTAGTTTAAATATACAAAATTAGATATAATATATCTTAAAGGTTTAAATTAAATATTTGTAATGTTACACACTCATACGTATATATTGAAATAAAATTATTAATTATTATATTAACAGTATAGTAGATTATTTCACAAGTTTTATAACATCTTTATGTATTCTATTTTGTAAAATTATATGTTTTAAAATATTATGCAATATTAGGTAAGTTAGATAAGCCGGAAGGGATTATCTAACCTAAAAGATGTACCAAGTCTAATTTTAAAAGACATATAATTTTAATTAAATAAATAAAATATTACATACTTTTTTTTGGGTGTAGAATTGTGTTTGGTAAAGTTATTTAAGAAAAAAAGTAATTTTTAGCATTAGAGATTTACTAAATAATTTATTTAAATAATATTTCTATTCATTTGATAAAATTGGTGAAACACTAATTAAAATTATATAATGAAATTATAAAATTACCCCTCTCTTTTTTTTCCACCTACAAAAACAACACTTAATATATATAAATACACTACACCCACTATCCTTATAAGATAGTTCAGTGTAATCTTTTAAAGAAAAAAGTAATGAGTATAATTAAGTTAAACTCCAATAGATGTTGGTTTAATTTACACTTAACTAATTAATTATACATTAGCTATGATAAATTGATAATTTGTAAATTTCCATATAGAATTTGATTATGAAA